TATAATTAATGATAGACTCATATCCAACTATCTGATGGAAGACTCAGGCTTCGTTTGGGACGGCTTTTATATTGCTTCATAAAACAATTTTTTAGTACAATTTTTTTACTAAAAAGCTGTTTTAAGAAGCAGTAAGAAAGACATCCCAAATGAGCTTCAGTAGTCACCTTCTCTTAAGGTTTTGTTCGGGTCTGATGCTTCTGTATGTAAAACCTATTGTAAATTTTTTATAGAAAAATAGGATTTTTTTTTTAAAGTTTTTGTAGGTGTTATAAACTTTTTCTCTTTTTAAAAAGTCAAATTATAATTCTTTTATAACTATTGTATTATTATATATTTCGTTATAAAAAGTGATTTCTCATGACAGAGTTTTAGACAAAAAATTTTAGCCAAATAAAAATAGGATTATTTATTATCTTGACCAGTAAGCTATAAGAAAACTGCACCAAATAAATTTAAAATCTTGCTCACCAAAAGACACTGGGGCTGGAAATGTATAAATTGTTTTCTCAGTGTATAGAGCACTATTAGAATATTTATACAATTGAGTTATAATTATATTAATTGAGAAGTGAGATCATGATAAGCATTGGCCTGGAGGAAATTATATTTGAAAAATCTGTCACAAATCAACTAGTGGCCTTTAGAATCTTGAAAAGGAAATTCAGTATAAAGAGGTTCTGAATGCTAAACAGCTTAAAAGAAAGACAAAGTTGTGGCCATAAATCAACATCAGGAATATTCAAACTTGATTCCAGTTCTCCATGGCCCATTTCACCTTCAGGCTGAAAATATCTTTGCCAATAGGTGAATCACATCTAATTATATTAAGAATATTAAGTTAAAAGAAATAGTAAATCAAAATTTGTTAAAGCAATGTCGAACCCCGCCAGGAGGCGCTGCCCCCTTGGACCTCCGATATATATGCCAACAGTTACTTATAAGTTTGCCCTCCCCTGAAAATTATAGCGGGTTCCACTCCTGATTATAGTTGGATAATGATGGTTGAATGACTGTAGTCAGACAACAGTGGTTAAACAACCATTGCTAGGTAAGTTTGATTTGAGGATTGTAGTGAGACAATAATTGTTGGATGATCTTAGTCGGAAGACAATGTTCAAAAGGATCATAGTCAATAATGGGTGTTTAGAGGACTGGTGCAGTGGTGGACAATGGATGTAGTGGGGCGGTGACGATCGTTGGACTGTTGTCTGGTGACAATTTATATACAACCATCCTGGTCTGATAGAAATGGTTGGGTGATGGTTCGGTTGAGTTTCAAGATTATTCGTGCCCGTGAGCTCTCTTGAATCTGATGCCAAGGTCTAATGCACGAAATAGTACGAAAGCTGTCTCAATCGAAACCTACATTCATTTTGAAGACTTGATAGTGATATTGGCAATCATCTGCACTAATAAGTATGTACAATGTTAATCATTTTCAAATATGTCAAACTACTGAACACAACTTTTTTCCTCTTTATCTAAATTACACAAACTCCCTGTAATCACTCTGCTAAGAGATGTCTCGCACGCTTAAACTGGTGAGGAAACAGCATGAAAATTTATGAATTTCCTTCAGTGATTTATGAGAAAATTTATAAATTTAGGTTTTCTTTGGGATGACTTTCTTACTGCTTCTTAAAACAATTTATTAGTACAAAAATTAAATTGAGAAGCAATAAGAAAGCCGTCCCAAAATGCTTCATTTAGGATGATTTTTTAAGCGTTTTTAGTATAAAATTAATTTTTTAATTAAAAAATTATTTTAAAAAACAGTAAGAAAATTATCTCAAATAAAATCTTAGTCATATTTGTGGGAGAGATTATTAGGTGCAGAGTGCGGACGGGGAGAACCGTCCGCACAAGCCTTATTTCGCGCTAGGTACCGGCACTCGGTACCGCTAGGTATCCATATTTATGCGGATGGTACACACTCCGCACCTAATAATTTTTCTATTTGTGGACACCGTTGTCTAATGTCCTATTGAAAATGACATGCAAAAGTAAGAGGTTCAAAATACGTAACGGCAAAGAAAGACAAAGTAGGCTAGAAATGCACATCAAGAATATTCAAAATTGGATTCCAGCTCTTCATCACCTTGGCTATGGCTTTCGCTTTCAAGATGGAAAATATCTTCAGCAGTTTTGTTTGAGATGTTCTCATGGGCGAATTATTACGTCCGGTCACCGGACGTCCGAACGTCTAATCCAGACGCACCACGTCACCCGAATACACTAGGCCCCGGTGTATTTTGGTGACGTGGCACATCTGGATTGATGTCCGGACGAATCCGGACACCGGACGTAATAAATTTTCCATTCTCATGCGGCCCATAAATATTAATATTTCTATGATTATGGAGTAGATTGCATAAAAGAGTTAGAGCTGAGCTCAAGCAAACTCTAATTTGAGCTTAAATTTGACTAATTAAACTCTTAGAGCTCGATCTCAAATTTATTTTATGAGTTCGAGCTGGTTCACTAGCTGGCGAGTTAGTTTATCATGAAAGATAATTTGTTTATGATTTAAGCTATTATTGTAATAAAATGGCAAATGATTAAAAATTATAAGAAAAATAATAAAAAAATTATTTAGTATGAGTAAGTAATACATAATTTATAATATTTTTAATAGCTTTGCATTTTAATATTAAATATAACTATTTATTTAAATTTATTTAATGATTAATTTAAATAAAATTCATATTGTTCGTTGTTGCCCCCACAGAGCATCGCCAGTCATGATTAATTATTATGTGGATGTCGAATTATATCCAGTTATCAACCAAAATGCGTTACGTCATCTTTTGATGTGAATTATGACTCTGTATTGCACGGTATCACGGCTCGATATCGCTAATATGACTGTATCTGATTCGCCTTCGAACATAGCGAACATAGCGCTACGTTCGACCTCCAAACACAATAATTTTTCCACGCCAGCCTACACTTGCTTGATTATAATAAGGAATTGGTGTACGCTGTTCTAAATGTCTTCGTCGCTATTGCATTCAATAATTCATTGGAAGCTGTACGGTCCAGTTTTCTTCCAGGTCCGTGTTTGAATGACTATCTTGTGGCTTTTAACTCCACTCACCTTCAATATAATTGGTCTTTGAAGTATCTCGTTAATTTTATATAAAACTTATTATGTATTAAAATTAAGTATTTTATTTTATTTTTATTATAGATTAAAATAAAATAAATGTACTCAAATGTAAATTCGGGCTGTTAATAAATTATCCCGTTTGTAAACCTGACCCAAAAAAATTCGGAGTATTTATAATTATAATGCATGGCTACAAAACATAGGAATAAAAATTAGTGATGATTGTATAAAATTTTAAAAGATACTGCTACTTAACAAGCAATTTCTCTTTATCAGATCCTGAAAATATGGCCAATCTAAATTTATAAATATTTCTTTAATAAATCAAGCACGAGAATATTTAAATGCAATAAGGTAAATTATCGTGCTGAGCAAAATAATAATAATAACAAATTTAATAAATAAGAATTTCATATAAAGTTTATATATCTTAGAGTAAAAGGTGACAATTTTTTATCTTTCTCGGATAGAATCCAAAGATTCGAACTGCTTATTACTTCCAAAAAATAGAATTTCTTCTCTTAGACAGAATCCAAAAATTCTGGCACCTCATAACTCCCAATAGAAATAATTTTAGATTGTTTCAAATTTCGTGAATCAAATAGAATCTAAAAGATTCCAACTTCTTCTCTCCCAATTGATATATTTCACATCAAAACTCACATAATTCATTACAATATAGAAATCGAAGAATAAATGAACTCAGAACAAAATTTTATAATTTCGCACAATGATAGGCGGCAAAATACGCTACTGTATAAAATTCATTATTTTATAACATAATTAAATTACAAGAGATTGCGCATAACACTATTTCAAGACTATAATTATAGTCCAACCATCTTATTCGAGTTTTAGATTAAGTTTAAGACAATTAAAAAGGAGACCATTTTAATATACCCAATCTAAAATTTTTCAAAAAATTCCTAAATGCTCAGAACTGAAGTCAACATTCAGAAAGTTACACAGTGAAAATTTTTGTCAGCGCAAGGTTATCATTATTTTTTGGTAACGAATATATACTTTTAATCAGAAAATTGAAAAACCCTTCATATTTCTGAAAACTTAGATAGGCATAATGTAAGCTACTTCGATTCAGACAATTCTTAAAATTGGACCGATAGTAGAAAATGACCCGAAACAGCTCAAACAAGAAATTTTCTCTAGGATCTCTCCCTTTTCCCCTCTATTTCAAAAATTAAAATATTTTAAAACAATTATAGAAAGCAATTACCTAGCATAAATTTTTTTCGAAAGGAGTGGCCAAATTGAAAATATAATTACGATCTTAAAAGTAAAGTAATAAAAAGTCATCTCAAGGAAGCCTTAATTTCTCTAAATCGAGATTGTGCTTTTTCGATAACAACTAATTGATTTTCAAACTCAAAATTTCTCACTACTTAGGCTTCATTTGGGATGGCTTTCTTACTGCTTCTTAGGGCATCTCCAACCAAAAATCTCATTTTTTTTACTCCAAAATGCCGTGAAACTAAAAAATGTCGTGATTCATCTCCAATCGAACTCCATTTTGCCTTCTTTTGCGAAGGTAACATCGTTCCCTTCTTTCGCGCGTTTCTTCGGTAATTTCGGTAGAGACATAAAAATGGCGGAGATGAACAATGCAACGCGAATATTGACGTCATACTATTCACCCGCAACCAAATAGCAGAAGTTTTACCCTTCGGCTAGAGCTCGCGAGGGACGCCATTCAAGTGTTTGGAGTTCGGTTAAAGATGCCATTAAAGAATTGCTTTAAGAAGCAGTAATATAGTCATCTTAAACAAAGCCTTAGCATCATTAAACTTTATCAAAAGAAAAAAAAATTTGTGCTCATAATCAAATGAATTAAGAAAAAAACAAGCACCAAAACTAACATACATTACACATCACAAAATTTAATTTATAAAAAAACTAAACTTTACACACCACATACAAAATTCAATGGTGACTAATTAGAGAACTAACAAATGACTAAAATGATCAAATTGTATAACAGATCTTATTACCTTCATTTTTAATCAGCATCAAAAGCCGGTCACAGTGTAACCCTAAAACACCTGACCACCATATAATTTACATCAAAATTATTAAAGGCAGGCAGGCCAGGAACCCAGCCCCTTATTTATGGGAAATTACCTCCAAAACCACCAAGTACTCCTTATTTACAGAAAAGCCAATGTTTCAATCAGGAAGAAGCAGCAGCTGTGCAGACAGGAAGGTCCTTCTCCAGGTTCGGGGCTGAATTGAGGATCGGATTCCTCTCGAAGAAGTTCACAGGCTTTAGATCGAAGCTGGAGGACACAATGGGCATTATGGGAAAGTCTTCCTGGCAAGGGATGTGGTGAAATCCCAGCGTATACCATAACACAATGTCCTTGTTCTCGATCGGACGGTCCCTATTCAATCCCATTTTTGATAGAATCAGTCTTCATAATTATTGGATTTTTTATTTGATATAAAATAATTTTAAATTTTAATATTGTATAGAAAAATTGTATATTATACAAATTTAATAATTTTTTAAATTTATCCTCTTATTTAGGAGTGTCAATTTCATGTCGCGGGTTGAGTTCGGGTTGAACTCGAAACTATTCAGGTCAATCCGAACCTGACCCATTTTTTTGCAAACGGGTTGATTTTCCGGACCGAATCCGACTTGCTTCAGGTTCGGGTCAACCAAACACGACTCGAATGACCCAGTGCCAACAAAAACTACTAAATTTCAGGTCCAAAAACGGGTAAATTTTCTCTTTTCTAATAAAAAACGGGTCAATCTCGATTTGTCGGGTCAAAACGGGTAAACTCAAGTCAAGGATCAACCCGAATACAAACTGATTTTTGAAACGGGACGAATTGTTAAACCCGAGGCCGACCCGTTTTGGGTTCCGATTGACTCTAACCCGAAATTTTTAGGTCGATTCAAGTCGAATTTTTGGATCGTGTCAAGTATTGGAGCAATTATTAGGTCCTTTCACTGGATATAGAGGAAGATTCGGTTTTAGGCAAAAATAGGTCAAAAAGTGCAAATACCGAGTTTTTTGAAAAACTTTGAAAAACTCTGTATTTTTTCAAAAAAACTCGGTATTTGCACTTTTTTAGGCAAAACCGAACCTTCCTCTAGGTCCTTTCACCGGACCAAATAAAAGTTCCAAGTATTGACACCCCTGCTCTTATTTATGTAAGGCTAATTTTTTAATTATTATTATTTTTTTAATTTTTAGGGTTTAGGTTGTTTTGCACTATTGCTTACCTTTCGGACCATACGGCCAACGTGTCCTCTCCTTTGTTCTGGTATACGAACAGCCCGCCCGCCCACTCCTCTTTCTTGTCGCGTGGCGTAACCCATATCTGCAAGAAGGGGCAAAACAGTACAAAGATTAGAACTTTTTTAATATTTTGAGAAATTGAGTGCCCAATCATAAATTATAATGCAAGTGAAATTTCTTTTATGAAATTTTGATAATAATTCCTTACAATTTTCACCAACTTAAGTTACTAGCAAAAGAATTGGATTTGAGCCTTTTATTAATGAGAAAATAACAAAAATTAAGGCTTCATATCCTAGCTAGGGGTGTTAATTTCAGGTCACAGGTTGGGTTCGAGTCGAACTCGAAGTTGACCTGGAACTATTCAGATCAACCAAAATCAAACCCGTTTTTACAAACGGGTCAGTTTTTCGCCCGGCACTATTCGGGTCAACCAAAATCAAACCCATTTTTACAAACATGTCGATTTTTCGGGCCCGAACCAGACCCTCTTCTGGGCCGAGTCAAACCGAAACAACCCGAATGACCCGAGGCCGACCAAAAATTACTAGTTTCGGGTCAGAACGAGTCAATCTCCGTTTTTCGGCTCAAAACGGGTCGATCTCGGATTTCCATTTAAAGAATGGGTTTTCGAATAAAAAACGGGTCAATTTTGAGTTTCTGGATCAACCCAACTCGATCCGATTTTCGAAATTGGTTGATTTATTGAACCCAAATTCGAGCCGTTTAAGGTCCGAGTTAACCTAAACCCGAAATTTTCGAATCAGGTTCATATCGGATTTTCTGACGATTTCAATTTTCAGATCATAATATTAATTTTTTTAATAATACTTTCAATAAATTTTGTGTCTAAAAGTAATTTTCTACAACAATTTTAAAAATATATATTTTCTCCACGGTTGTTTTAAAATTACTTTTTAAAAATCTGCAGTCATTCCAAATGTACTCTAAGAATGTGTTTGAAACAGCTACAGAGTTTTAATAAATAAAATTGCCAGAAGATTAGAGATTAAACATTATTTTACTTCTCCTTTGATATTTTATTCATATCGAGCCAAAATGGGTTTCAAATTATTTTTAACAAGGATAAAGAAGATAGATGCCTACAGTTTTTACACCCGTTAAATTCCACAGTTGAAAGCTCAAATTTTTTTAAAATTTCATTAGTGGAATGGCCGCATATCAACTCCATTACACCAAAAGAAAAGAGATTGCATACCTGATTATTAGTGAATGCGCCTCTGATCTGAGGCGGATCTTTCAAATCAAGCAGCGCCGCCGCCGTGCCGGCCGGAACCACCTTATAACCCACCGGATTGCCAACTCGGGTCGTCTTGTCCGAGTTGATCACATGGAATTCGTATGGCTCGTAGAGCTTGAGCTTGATCTGGGCGTCCTTTTCCGTCTGGGCGGTATTCCTCGTGGCCTTGAGGTAGCTCCGGCGAGGAGTAGCGTCGGAGTCGGTGCCCTGTCTCGAAAGCTGGACCTTGACGAAGGAGTTGTTGGCGCCGTCGATGTCCAGATCGAGGTGGAAGGTGATGAAGTGGTCGTGGATGACTCCGATGATGTTTTCTGAAAGCAGAGTGCCGTATGTGTCCTGCTTTGATGGGAACTGCGTTATGTGCGTGTACGGTGAGCCTTTCACCATTAGGATGCCGCTCAGGCCAACCTGTTACAAATCCAGTAACAAATAATTAAAAAATTTATAATTTTTATAAGAAATCAGATTAATTTCTGCAAATGCCTTATAATTTTAATACCTTTTTAGTTTTTTTTATCTTTTCTATTCCTTCAGAAAATAAATTTACAAACAGCACCGTAAAAAGCCCGTCTTGAAGTTAACGGTTAAAAAAAGGGGAAATTTGTGTTAGAATATCTGATAAAATTTTAATTATGGTAGATTATATAACGGATGCATGTTATTTTTTTATTATATTTATAAAATATCAAATTAAATACTTTTAATTTATAAATATTTAAAAATGTTAAAAATATTTAGTGTAAAATATTATATTTATGATAAAATCAATTTATTTTCAAATATTTATAAATAAACAATTGAATGGATATATAAAAAGTCTTATAAATGTCAATTTTTTATAGCTACTCTAATGAAAATTAAATTTTTATGCAATTTAAAAGTTTATCATACAAATAAATATATAAATTTATGTTTTGATATGTAAATACATAGAATTTGTGATCTTTATGTAATTTTTTTTTTCTAAAGAGAGGAGAGAAAAGAACATAAGAAAAGACAAACAAACCTTGACACGAATAATCCCGTCCGTCTGAAACTCCCAATCCACAATATAGTCATAATTCGCCACCGATGCCGCCATCCTCGCCACAAGCGTCACCTTCGGCCTTACCTCCCTTATCTGCAACGAAACAAACCACAAAAAACCCTAATCGGAAAACAAAACCTAACCAAACCAAATCATCAATCGCTTCTTTACTTCCCCTCACCTCCAATCCAGTTATCGGGCTCTCGGAATGCCGCCACCCGATATCACCGGCGTAACTCTCATAAAGGCAGATCATATTCTTCCTCACGTAAGGCCGGCCGTCGGCGGCGACGAAAGTTCCGTCCATGTAATACGCGTTGCGCGGGCAATCGTTAAGCGGCACAAGTGGCATCGCTTGCAATCCGAATCCGTATTCGCCCGCATCCATATAGGTTTTGAAGTACCAGGCATCTGTCGGATCCATGTAGGGCACGAAAAGCTCCGACGCGAACCCTTTGTAAAGCACACTTCTTCTCTTTCCCGTTATCGGATCCGCAACGGTTGCCGCCGAAACCACTAAGCCGGCTCTCGCATCCGCTTTCAGGTGGAACTCCCACCCGGCCCACTTCACCCTGTAGGAAGACTGGTGTTAGCAATAATACTATTTTTTGTCAATAATTGTCAGCTTATTTACTATTTTTAAAAATAATTGTCTTATTTTTATCACAAATTTATTATTTAAGTAGTTTATTTAATTAAATAATAAGTTTGTGATAAATAATAAGATTTTTTTATATTTATCTTATTTTAAATTCTTATCAAAATTAGAACAAAATCATCTTACATACCATAGGCTATATATTTTAATTTTTTGAATGATCTAAATTTCTTGTGAAAATTACTAATTTATTAACTATACACATAATTTATTATTAAAATGTAATAAAAAAGTTTTTTTTGGATAAAATTCAAAGGAATTACATTGATAACATATAATTTTTATTCATTTGCATATTTGATATTTAAATCTTTATATTTATTTTTATAAGACTTGAATATTCAGGTCATATTTAAAATAATATTAATATCATTTTGTTTTTTTTTAATATATTTTTATTTATATATTTTAATGTGATTTAACTATTAACAAATAAATAAATAATTTTGATTTTTTTTAGAACGACTTATCCACCTGGTGCTACCCCGAAAGGTCGCTTGGCAGTATAATTAATCCTAAGGTGACCTAGAAGAGACACTAACCACAAAAAACTCTTGGCCGCACTTGACTAGACCTCATTTAAGAGGTGCTGTCACTCGAGGGGAATCGAGCACGAATGAGAGTTTCCCAATTATACTCATCCACCAACCAAATTAAAGATCGATGGATAGTAATTTTGATATTAAATATATAAATAAAATGTAAATTTATGGTTTTTTTTTTGGAAAATTATGTAAATTTTATCTATGTAAATTTTATGATACAATGATATCATTGAATTACTATGAATTTATATATTCAAGAAAATAATAGCATATATTTTAATTTTATCTAGAATTTTTAAGGATTACGTGGGCGACATGATAACGGCTAAAGCCCTTCGTTACCTGTGCCCATCCACGACCTCGAAGCTTGGCCCCTCGGGCTGCTCGATCGAGATCGGCCGCAGCGGCCTTCCCTTCTCGGCGTTCTCGCTGCCCCTTAGCTCATCGTATCTATAGTCCGTCCCCGCCGATTTAGGGATCGGAATATTGCCCCCTTCATCGGTGATCTGCACCACCTCCTTCGTATCCATATCAACCAATACAGTGAGCCCTTCAATCGGCCTCATATAGAAGTTGGCCGTGCCTTCAATGGAATAGCACTGAACCTTAATCAGCCTCCTTTTGTTCTCAATCTCCCGACCGAACCATCCGGAGGAGACCGGGAGGCAAGCGAGATCTGAGGTCCGGACTCCGCGGGCGATGACGGAGCGATTGAAGGCGGGATCGGAAAGGGGGGCTAGGGCGGATGACGTCATGTCCTCGATTGTCATGGTGGGGAAGCCGGAGACCGGGTTGGGAAGAGAGGAGACGGTGCCGGTGGAGAGGTCGATGGAGAGGGAATGGGCTTGGCCGTTGAGTCGAACGACGGCGGAGGCGCGGCGAGGGGGAAGGGGGTCGCCGGAGGACCAGGAGAGGACGACGTCTTTGTCGGGGGGGTCGAGGGAGAGGGAGTGGAAGATGAGGGATGAAGGGGAGGAGGAGAAGTGAGGTTGGGAGATGAGGATGGAGCGGATGGTTGTGATTTCGGAGATGGTGAGAGGGTCGAGAGGGTGGCAAGGGGTGGAGGGGAGGGCGGAGGCTTGTGTGGGTTTCCGATGAGTCAAGAGGTGATCAGAGGAGGTGGAGGGAGGGATGGCGGGTTGGAGCCATGAGAGAGTGAAGAGGAGGAGAAGGAAGAGGCAGAGCGAGAAGCAAAGAAAGTGAGAGAGAAATGAGGAGTTCATTTGGGAGACGAGGGGTTTGAGCTTCTTGACTCGGGTGGAAGCCGGAGAAGGAAGCGGGGTTTTAATAGCTGGATGGAGAGGAAGAAGATGAAGTGGTCGGGTCACCGATGAAGTGAGATTACCTCGAACAGGAATCTCTGACAGTATCAGAAAGACAGCGCATTGCTGTTTGTGAAGGAAGATTCATCCTTTTACGGGGCCGGGTAATAAGGCCCATTTACTATTTTGGGCTAGTTATAGTTTGGGCCCTTTACTAAAGAAGTCCTTGTTCAAGATCCTATGTACTGAAATGTGCACATAAATTTGTTATAACTTGTTTGATGTCCTAAAAATATAGAGGTGTGTTAGAGAATCTCCTAAATTCTAATGATTAGAAGCATAGTAAAGTAGTTATGAATTTTGAGGAATTTTAAAATAATATTAATTTCTAATTGATGCAGAATGTTGATCATTAAAAGATAAGCATAAAATTAAGTTAAATGTTGCAGAGATAAGAATGCTTAAGTGAATGAGTGGCTTTATATTGAGATATATAATACAAAAATAGTTATATATGTGAAAAAGTTGGAGTAGCTCCAATTATAGATAAGATTAGAGAGAATTGTTTTAGATGGTTTGATCATATAAAATGTTGAACTTCGATCCGATTAGGAGAGTGGATGTATTAGATCCAGCCTTTGTTAAAATAGGTAGAGGTAGACTGTAAAATATTTAGTTTGAAAGTGTTTGAGATGACATTTTTATTAGATTTAAATGAGAATTTGTCTTTTAAAAGAACAAAATGGAGAAAAGTAATACATATAGGCGACCCCACGTATTCGAATAAAGGCTTTATGTCGTTGTAGTTGTTAAATTTTTCATTATATTTAATCAAATCAAAGGAATTTTTATTCATAGTAAAAAGAAGTTATTAAAATTTATTAAATTAAACTCAATATGAGAAGGCATATATATTATGTTTCAAAAGGCAAAAGAAAAAGAAAAGAAAGCATAATGGAATATTACTCTTAGTTCACTTGAGCTCCTCCTATAATCCTTATTATTACCAAAAGTTATTATATGAAATATTATTTTGGTAGATTTTTTGTGAAATAATGTGCGGGGTGAGGAATGAAAATGTCTATCTAAAAATAATGATAGGCAACCTCACCAAATCTTTCGGAGAAAGAATGCCAACGTACAATGAAAACGCTGAGGTGACAACAAAGAAGCCTAAAAAAAATCTTTGAAAAATCAATCGCTCTGGTGATGGCAACTTCAATCGCTAAGACGAAATGAGAAGACTTAAAAGTTCTCAATAAGAGAGATAGCTAAATCTAAGAATAAGTTAGGCTATTTCAAGTGAAGAAGAAGGCTTTGAAATAGGCCAATGAGTTCTTCAAGAACTCAACCTAAACTGCCTATTAAAGGATGGTGACAAGGAAAATGTTTCAAGCAATTTAACTAATATTTTCTTTCTTTCTTTCTTTGTTTATTCTTGTATTGTATAAATTTATGAAGCAATAAAATTTTTATTGGCACGAATTTCGTCTTTGTCTGAGCCAAATTATTTTTCTATTCTCTTAATACCAAATATATCAAATTAATAAAGAATCTGAATGAATATCAAATATAACCTCCTTAATGAAGTTGATGATTATTATATATATCTCCAATAATGAGTTTGAGCAGTCAATATAAATTCCATTCTTGAAAATAATGAATATTAAATATCAAAGAAATATTTGCATAATTATCTTTGCCAAATCAAAATAGGGTATTAATGTATTCTTATAAATTTCAGGTTTTACTCATTCTTCATTTTTTATTTTATATGGTCAACAAAATAAGTCTCATCTTAACAGGACTGCCCTACGCTTGAGCTTCGACTTCATGAGGGTAATCATTTTGGCTCATCTGCTAAAATGGGAATGCACATTGCTAATGTGAGGCTTATCACTAGGGGTGTCAATATTTGACACGACACGAAAACCCGATCCGAACCCGACTCGAAAAATCCGGGTTGGACCCGACCCTATTTCAAAACGGGTCGGGTTTGGGTTCCCGTATTCGACCCGTTTGAAAAAACAGGTCTGGTTCGAGTTGACCTGAAAACCCGTTTAATTTAAAAAATTTGGATTCCCGCCCGCGATTCGTTGCCCCCGACCGCCCCCCACGCTGCTGCCCCTCGCCCGCTGCCTCGCGCCCACTGCCCGCGCCCTGCGCTGTTGCCCCAGCCCTCGCATGTCGCGTCCGCCCCCTCGCCCGCAGTTTGCCAGCCGCCGTTCCGACGTTCTGTCGCCGGCAGAACCCAAAACCGGGTCGGGTCGGGTCCGGGTTCGGATTTCCGACACGTTTGTCTACCCAGGTCAGGTTAGGGTCGACCCGTTTGAACCCGGGTCAGTTCTGAGTTCGACCTGAACCCGACCCATAACCCGAAATTGATAGCTCTAGTTATCACAAAAGGGGAGTTAAGTTCTAGGGCGTTGCCTATGTTTCAATAGATATATTGAGAGAATAAGAAATGATATTTTTTAATAAAGTTGAAATCATAGATGAAACAAAGCTTGGTCGAATAATATTATAATCATTGTCCATCAGGATTATCGATTGATTAACTTTCTTAATTCACAATTAATAGATCATCAATATATATTGATCTATGTCAAGTCAAAATGGGCACCATGATTATGATCGATGAGAACCACCAATACTAAAACAACAAGAACAATAAAAAAGGTCATTAGACTCCAAGAGAAAAGCCTTCTGATTGGATTGTTTATCCCTTCAAAAAAAATATATATATATTCAAGATAATATGTTTTAAAACATTTATTAATTATCTTAAAAAATATTAAATGATATCTTATAGCTAGATTCGAGAAATATATAATAGGCATCCTAATCAAAAATTTGATAAAGTATATTGGCTTATTTTTTTCTGAGATATTCATGAAATTTTTGATATTATTTGTTTACTAAATACAAACTATGTCAATTTAATTTTGATAAATATGAGTTTTTATATCTACTTGACAATTTTATTACTATAATAATTTAAATTTTATTAATTTTTCTTATTAAACTATTAAGAATCTATTTGAGACTACTACTATGTTATGTAAAGATGATTGTGAAGTTATTATGAGAAAAATAATTTATTAAAAAACTATTATGAAAATTAAAATATTTTTTTAAAATAGCAAAGCTAATTTATTTAGGCTTCATTTGGGATAATTTTCTTTCTATTTTCTAAAACAGATTTTTTACAAAAAATTTTTGAACTTCAAATTTTGTATTAAAAACTCTAGCCATAAAATCAGCTTCTCACTACCAAAACTCTGATAAATAACAAAAAGCTAATAAAAAACATAAGCCAAATAAAACTGTAATTATGATCTAAAAATTTGAGCCGTTAGAAAGTTATACCAAACAAATAAATTTCATATTCAATGCATGCTCTAACTTTTAAAATTTTAAGAAGAATTAGAATCTCTGATAAATTTTGGCCAATTACATAAAGAAAATAAAGAATTCAAGAAAAAAAAATATTTTGGACTTTTTATTTTTACTGATGCCTTTCAAAAAAATATTTTTCTAATTAAATAAATCATAAGGGAATGAAATGCTGAATTCTATATGATTTATTTATTTATTTGCAAATGCAATTTTATATTACAGGTTAAAGCGTGAGAACTGGCCATCTAGTCAGGTTCCACGTATATAAAAATTAGGCGATTATCTTATGCGAGTGGACAATGTATTTACCATGCGGCCGTTTTGTCGTCGTAGCTCAATGCTCACCAGCTTAGTGTGGGTCCCACCAATGCAACTAAGCGGTAAGATCATCTCCAACCGAACTTCGTACCGCCATATGCAGTCCATTATTCGCTGCATTCGAACTTCAAATCTCACACCAAAGTTCTATAGGTGAATAGTGTGACATCAATATTGACGTCAAACTGTTCACATACCCCAAAATTGGGTTGTCGAAATTGTGGAAGACGAGCACGGAAGAGGAGAAAGTGTGCGAAAGAGGAGAGAGATTGTTACTTAGAAATTTGATTTTTTTGTTGGAGTTGCCCTAAGGGTACATTGAAAAATAAATCTCAAAATTTGCTAAATTAATTTTTTTTTTATTGATCATAAGATTTTGAATTTATATTCTTATAAAAGAGAATAAAATTTTCAATTATTGAAGCGAAAGGCACCTCAAATGTAAATTTTTTGCATCATCGTTTATTTTAAAGGTTTATGCTTTGTTTGGGAGGGCTTTCTTACTGCTTCTTAAAGCAGTTTTTTAGTAAAAAAAAATTATTTTTTGCACTAAAAATCAGCTTTAAGAAGCAATAAGAAAGCCGCTCCAAACAAAGCCTTAGTCTGTTGATGCATGCAATAATGCGGCACAAATGCTTTGTTTAAAGCAATAATTAGTAGTTTATGAGATTAAATAAGAACATAATCTTGTTAATTGTAATAACACTAATGCTATTAATTTAACTAACAATTTATTTGGGACTGTATTTTTACTGTTTTTTAAAGTAACTTTTTAGTATAAAAATGACTAGTTCAGAAAACTTTTGTATTATAAAGTTATTTTTTTTAAGCACTCAGAAAGTTATCACAAATGAAGCATAAGACTCCAATTTGATGCTTATGGATAAAACAATGCTATTTTATTATGAATTGAGTTGCTAAATGATTAAAAACTACTAATTTTGCTACAAAATCATATGTTGGAATAAAATATATGTGAATTAAGAAAAAAGTTCATCATATTCTATCCAAAAATTTATAATTTAAATTTATTTGATAGAATTACATTTCAATTGCTAAATGATTAATCTCTTCATTTTGGTAATTATTTTGTATGTTGCCAAAGGTGAGTGATTTAGCATGTTTTTATTTATGGTGTATTGTGAGCTTATGCTAGTTGGAGGTATCAATGCTACTTAATGATTTTGGGATTGAAAGTTTGCACTAATTTGAAGCAAATTGCAAGATATTTTGGAGAATAAAGAATGCAAAGGACAAGCTCAAAACATCAAAAAGAAGAGCTGAGATTCAAATAGACATTTAAGAGTAATTTGAGTCATAAAGATGATAGTTTTATAGTGTGCTCTTTGAACTCAATAGGAAATTATTTTATTGAATCTCTTAAAATACTTACAAATTATTTCCAATATTCTAAATTTATTGAAATTTAGTTGAATGAATTTTAACATGAATTTCATGCCAATTTTATCATTATATTGTTTTTTGAACATATTCAAATAATTTTATTGTACAATTAAAAATATGATTATTTATAATGACAATTAAAGTTTTTAAAATGGCTTTCTAGTACAAAAAATATTTGAATTTGAAATTTTTGTATGAGAAAATCATTTTAAAAAAGCAATATAAAAGCTGTCTTATACGAAGCCTAAGATGTTCTACAAATAAATATTCAGATGTTAGACATAAATATACAAGTTGACAATGATATAAGAAATTTTGATTTGATTTGATTCTCAGCAAGAGAGATTATTCTGTGCGGAGATCGGACGCAGAATGCAGTCCGGAGACAAACTGGAATGCGTCACGTAGTGGTACTGACCCGCAGTACCGAGCAATACCGAGCACAGGGGTGACGTGACGCTTTCTAGTTGGTCTCCGGACGACGTTCAGCGTCCGCACAAAACAATTTTTTCAAAATGTGAGGCAGTGGCAAAAAGTATTACTTTGAAAAACAATAGAACTATGTTTAGATGCAATGGAGTAGAAATTATATCAGACTACTCCAACATTATTCAATGAATTAAGAAGAAAAAGGCAAATAGAAAGTACAGTGAATAAAACAAAACTGACAATTCCCACACAACCCTCCTCCATTTAAACAAAGAACAATAATTTGACAAATACAACAAACTGGCAATTCCCCCAAGCTTAAAAAACCAAAAGATTTGACACTCCAAACCCAACTGTGACAAGGAAATCAATAAATCTTCCAAGAAAGCAAATCAGCACTGTAACTGTGACATGAAATTGGTATTTTACAGTAGATTTCTAAACTTTCCATGTCTTTGCAGTGTATAATGCTCCTAAGTTCAACTGGCTCATGAAATGGATAGGTAGTAAGGCTTGTTCAGGAAGAAGAAGGATCATACCTGAAGCCATGGCACTGATGCTAATAAAGGTAAGGAGCTGCTCATTCAAAATACAGGTCTCAGATCCTGAGGCCTGGGGATCATGAGCAGATTCTGGTGAATCAAAGCTTACTTGATCTTTTGGGGGACCATTATCATTCTCACTTCCATTATTATCATGAGACCCCTCAGCACCGTTCGACGATTGTGGCTCATGGCTCTCAAAATGCGATCCAGAGCTTCCATGGCCTTCCTGGGGATTATCGTCGTGCTCGGCATGTCTATCTTCATACAGACTCCCTGCATTGCCATCTTTTGAAGTGCCAGAGATTTGGTCCTGCTTTGCTTCTACTCCAACACGTCTCAGATGTAGCTGCTATTTTTTTTTTAACTTCAGAGCAAGTGAGGTATAAAATGATCCATAAAACTGAAAGATTTAGCTACCTGAAGGTATAGGTTAACCTCATCCGGACGAGAAAGAAAGGGGAAATCGCCTCCAGATTTCATTATAGCTCTTCTTGCACCAGGATATCTTTCATTGACTTGATCTTTTAGTGATTGGGGAATAGCACAATAATCGTTTGTCTGGAAGAAAAAAGATGCCACAGTTGATTACAAATTATATGGTAGCACATTGTTTTCTCCCACCACGCCATCAAAGGCGTGCATAGGTAAAAAGCATTTTTGTTTTAAAAGCATTTTTTTTAAAGCAGTTTGCTTTCCCCCTGCTCGGGGGTACTTATGAGTGACCCCACTTCACCGTAGGTGCTGCACCGGGGTCCCATCCCACCACACGCACCAAAGACGTGCTTGGGGCGGTTTTCAGGGGTCCGCCACAAACATTGAAGTAGGGTTTTAGGTGATTACCCGCCTCGTCATAGGCGGCGCACCGGGGTCCCATCCCACCATGCGCACCACAGGCGTGCTTGGGGCGGTTTTTCGGTCCGCCGCAAACAACGAAAATGGGAATCTGAGTTTAGGAAATCCGTACCTTCGCGGGGTTGGTGAAGTCGGCGAGATGCACAAAACACAACACATTTCCTTTTTTTTTCTTTTTTTTCTCTTTCTTTTTTTTTCTCTTTTTTTTTTCTTTCTTTTTTCTCTTTTTTTTTTGGAGAAATCTCTTTTTTCTTTTTTCTTTTTTTTTCTTTTTTTTTTTTTTTTTTTTTTTTTTTTTTTGCATAAGTACACTCACACATATACACAGGATTAACAATGATAATGCTTTGAAAAAGAAATTAATGACTTTAAATACATTGACTGTCAACATAACTAAAGCTAATTAAAATTTAAAAAAAGTGAAAAGCTAGTACTTAGGAATAGTAATAAAAGTAAGATAAATAAAATAAAATAAAAACTGCTGTTTGGAAGATGGTGGATGGCAGATTTGTGAGCTTGAACCTTAGGATCTTTCCTAAGCAGTTGTAAACTTCTCAACTACACTTATGATGAATGTCAATCGTCAGAGCTCTTTTTTTTTTTTTGCGTGATTATATTTAGAAGTGCAAAGGAAGAATGATCTCCTATATGACTGGAATCTTTCAAGAAGTCCAACAAGTACAAACACATGATTGATTTTAATTTGCATATCTCAAACGATGTAGTAAAATTGTCTAATGGCAATCAAACACATGCAAGCAAGATATCGGCCATGTATCAGCTTACTTAATGCACCCAAAGCTTTTCATTCTCAGTAGATGCAAACACTACAGCACTGTTGGCTCAAGAAAAATAGCACGAATGCATGAATCCCGCTTTGCAGCTGTGGATTTCATTTCCCTTAAGTCAGATTGAAATTAACCAGATTTCCCCTGAGGATAGTGTCAGGGTTTATAGATCTGGGGTTCTTACTTCCTATGAGTGCAAGCACTCATAGTTAATTACCCCTCTTACTATGTAAGAGAGAACTCTCGATTAAGGGATGAATAGAATTTTGATAATTTTTTAGCTCAAATGGTGGGAAGATGGAGTAACCCGATCAAGATCCCATGGTTCCGTCGTCCCGAGTATACCATAGATTTTAGTCTACCAACACTAACAATCATTGACCGTAGTGTCCAGGGAATCTGATTAGCAAGCCATGAGTTTGCCTCCTCTCAGAGATCCAGAGTAGACTGAAGTGGTTAGATATGGATTTTAGTTTGATTTAATTTGGGTTGGGACTAACTACTTCCTTAGAAGTTCGTTAATTTATTTATTTGGGGCTTACAGCTCCAATTAGGAGTTGCCAGGGGATTTAAATTGGTTTTGGGACTTACGACTTTCGTAGAAAGTAGCCCAAGATTTTTATTTAGAATGGGGCTTACTACTCTATTTATGAGTTGCCCAGATAGTTTGTTTAGTTGGGGCTTACGGCTCAATAGGAGTTGCCCAGATAGCTTGATTTAGTTTGGGGTTTACGGCTCTCAATTTAGGCAGTTGCCCACGGCAAGAATTTCAATTGGATAGGTCTTATGGCTTCCTTAGAAGTTGCCTAACGGTGGGTCTTACGACCTAGTCCTGTAAGCTAAGCGGCCCAAGTTATGGGTCTTACAACCTAGTCCTTTAGACTAGGATGCCCATTTGAGGGGTCTAGGATTGTATTATCACCTAAACGTTTCCCTCAGAGGTCGGACTTATTGCTTCTATTAGAAGTGGCCGAGGTTTTAATTGGAGGTTAGGAGTTAGCCGTTAGGTAAATTTTTATCTAAAACTTCTCCCTAAGGTCGGGCTTACGACTTTCCTACGAAAGTTGCCGGGTAGTGGGTCTTACAACCAAGTTCCTATGAACGAGGCTGCCCACGGGTTTGAATTAGATTTGAGATAGGTCTTATTATTTCCCTTAGGAAATTGCCTGAAAAGCGGGTCTTACAGCTTAATCTCTTAGACTAAGATGCATGCCCATAGATTTTTTTTTGTTTGGACAATAATTATGTTCATATTTTTGTGTTTGTAGCTTTTTTTTACTACAATAATTCGGTACTTTACTTTAACACTGCATTGCAGTAGCAAAATTTATTATTTTTCATCATTGGTTTAATTCATTTATGATGCACTGATTCTTATTTATTTATTTGCAGGTACATGGTATTTGCAGCAGTTCATGAAGCTCACAGATAGTCGTAGAAGCAACTGTAGAGTGTTGAGAGTTTTATTAGGTGTTATGTACATGAATTTGTAGAAATTTGTTTGAGTTGTTATCAAGATTTTAGTTAAGTTGTTGTCTGAATTGAATTGTTTTGTTTGAAGCTTTGTTTATGTTGATTTGGGGGGTTAGTTATATGTGTTGATTAATGGAATTTCCACTCCCCCTCCTTTTTATTGCACTTTATTTTATAATTGCTCTAATTTGGTCATTAAATCTCAATGCCCTTGAATTTTAACTAACTCATGAATTTAAACCATTCCGCCGGACTTAAAGTCGACGACACGAGATCTTCATTTTAAAACCATCCTGACCGGATTTAAAGTCGATGGCCCAGGGTCTTCGCATCAGCAAATATATGTTGTTTTATAATTTCAGAAAAAAAAAACAAAAAAGGCTTTTTCATATAATTTATTTAATTCTTTTAAATCAATATTATTAACTGTAGCCTTAATCATTAAAATCTATATTGTTAAATATGACAATCTTTTGTTTGTCCCTTAACAAGTAATTCAACTAAGCTTTTCTTAAGCTTAGAACAAGATCAATATATTGTCTTGGGCATGTCAGGTTTGAATAATTGGAACAATATATAGATTCTTCATAATGGCAAACAACTTATTTTAATCTTTCTATGCAATCAAAGATTTGTTGGATTGAGAGAAAAGACAAAATCATCTTTATATTTAGTTCTGAATTCTCTCTATATATATTTTATAATTGTGCGTGGAGAATTTCAGTAAACAAAGTGTGCACTTTGCTTAGGAATTTCATTACCTAGAAATGAAATGACTAAAAAAAAAATCTGCTTCAAAATAATTAGAGAAAGATTGCTCCATAACGCTACTATTTTCTGCCAGAGAACATTCAACTTCTTGTTTATGTTTAAAGAATTTTAAATCTCATATTTATTATAAATTGCTCATTAATGAATTTTTAATCGATTAGATTAAATAATGAACTAATTATTTTAATTAGTGAAGTTATGACATTGTTCTCAAATAGTGACAAAGGAAATTCGGCAATATTCTAGAAAATTTTCGACAGCCTTCCGGCGTCCCCTGCCCACCGAGAGAATCGGGGCGGCATTTGCCGTAATTTCTTTCCACCCTGATCAAAGATCGACGGCGCGAGGTCTTCGAAATTTATAACCATCATACCCGGATCAAAGATCGACGGCGTATGGTCTTCAAAATTTATAACCATCATACCCGGATCAAAGATCGACGACATATGGTCTTCCAATTTATTTAACTGTTTATAACAAAATTATTACATGCTCATCTCATTTAATGCATTCTCTTTATATATATATATACACACACATATAAAAGAGATCTCATCCTAACACATTGGACATAGTAATGATTATATTTTTCTTTAAATGCATGACATGGCTGAATAGAACTTATTGCCTCTATTCAGATTATTGGTTCCTTTACTTTTTGAAAAGATCTTCAACCAATAAACCTTCTTCAACGTGAAATCTGCAGCCTTGAAATAATAAAATATTATGTTAACAATAGATTTATCTATTGTTAATACTTACACAGGTCGTGTATTTCACAGAGTTGCGGGGTTGTGAAGCGTCGGGTGCAAGTTCTGCAAACAAAACGGAAACGACACAGGAGCAGTTTCGCGTGGGAAGGAGGAAGACGAGCGTTCCCGTGGGCTAGGTTCCGACTTTAACGTGCTGTGTGTTTGTAGTTGGGGTTCAATCGCAAGCAGCAGGAGCAGTCGCCGGTAGGCGTTTTTGATTGAAGGGAGACGAGGAACAAGATTTTGAGAAAAATGCAAGCAAAGAGCGTTAGTTCTCCTTTCTTCTTTTTTTTTTTAGTTTCTTCCTCCCTCTCTTTATTGATTGATTGCCATAAGCCGGTTATTATCACCAAGGATTGCATCGTTTGAGCAAATCGGTGGAATTGAATTAATCTTACGAAGAGATACATCTCTTCAATTTCTTCTCTCCTTTTATTTCAAATTTTTTTATCAATCAATAATTCTCATATACACTCTTTGAAATTAAACCCAACGAACCTTGTGTAAATGTGAGCACATGGTCTTATAAAAATCATTGATTATTTCAAGTATATTTTTGTCAATTATATGGCTTTAAGTTGCATCCTACATAACATTACAGGTCATGCGACATCATAATATTGAATAGTTATTTCATCTTAATATTAATGAAAATTTAGAATTCTAGCCTGTGTGCTAGCATTTTTTTTTTATGTATTTTGACAATAAATATATATATATATATATATATAAATTTCGTCAATGTGTTGGAAATATTAGTCAACAAGCACCTTCATGATTATTTTAATTATTATAACTATAGAAGCTAAGCTAACATCTGGTTAACTTAGAGATCCCTCAAATCATTTTTTTTAAATGAACTTAATAGAAGATAGTATTAATGTAAATAATTATCAGTATTAAGTAATAAGAGTATGATAAT